GGGGGAGCCGGAGTGCTCTACCTTGATGCTGTCGAGTTAGGATGCTTAAAAGGAACTAGCTTGGTTGTGATGGCGAAGTTCTTTCTTTGTTGTGTCATTGTGTAGGCAGAATTGTGGAATCGCTTGGTTGTGCAGGTCGCTTCAGAGAGCCTTTTTGTGGGAGCTCGAACGAAGGCTTTCCAGGCACGACGGGACCGAGAAGGACCGACCTTTGACCAATCCGGGACCGATGCCAAGAGCCCCGTTCGGCTCCGTTCGTAGCGATGCCCGTTGTTCCTAGTAGCTTCTTGTTAAGAGTAGTAATGCCAGGAGCTACTAGTAGCTTCTTTGTTACTACTAGTAAGGCACTTGTTACTAGTAGCGATGCACTTGTTCCTAGTAGCTTCTTGCTCCTCATTTCGTTCGACTTGGTGAGGCAGATGAAGATGCCGAGGCCTCTCCGTGTGGCACCAAGACAGGAGAGCACCAAGCAGTGTGCTGTTTCAATCAACCTTGGTCCAGCCTTGTACGAAGATTTCTACAAAGACAGCCCGCCTGTCGACCGAAAGATCGGCAGTTACCCTGAGGCACTTTAGAGACCTTTAGGTGCAGGTAAAACAGCGACCTTGGACTCTGCGAGCTTGTCAGAGGCACAGCACAGAAAGGAATGAAGGAAGGAGCGCTAGGAACCGAGAGGAACTGCGAGGAATGAAACAGCATGGGGCTGCGCTCGATCACAACGCAGACGAAGCAGCAAGAGTGTTGTTTCGCACAGCTCTACTACCGCCTTCCGAATTTGTGCGTGAGCAACATTGAGCAACGCATCACAATAGCAACACCATGCAACACCCGACACAAGCGTGCAAGCAATTCCCCATGTTACGCAAATAGCACAAGAAGCGCATTGACAGTGCCAACGACTAAGTTTTGCTTGCAAAGGCCGTCTAATGTTACTACTAGTAAGGCACTTGTTTCTACTAGCTTCTTATTACTACTAGTAAGGCACTTGTTACTAGTAGCGTGGCACTTGTTACTACTAGCTTCTTGTTACTACTAGTAAGGCACTTGTTACTACTAGCGATGCACCTGTTACTAGGCTGTGGGAATGCATGTTGGTCGCACGGGCGTCACAAGCCTGGCCCAAACCACCTTTCTTCGTCGGTTGCGCTCCAGCCCATGTGGAGCGTAGTGCGATGTGCAGCGATGGGACTTTGTTACTAGTATATATAGCTTCTTTTAATAGTAAGAATGCTCCTAGTAGCGAGGCCAGGAGCCCCTAGTAGCTTCTTGATTTTCCGAGAATTTGCAGCAACAGCTGAACGCTCAGGTGGGCCATTGCAGCTGCAACAGCGCTTGCTGCGACAGCAGCTGCAGATTCAGAGTCAGCGAAGGCCCTGGCTCGGCGTGTGGATGACACCAGGAATGCGATGCAACTTCGTGCGTTCAGAGTAAATTGAGATACAGAGATACATCAATTATACATAACATCTTAAGATATTATCTATTTCCATGCTTGATGCAACAGAACTCAAACCCAAGCTATACCTTCCATTCGAGAGATCACATGAACAGAACACTTGGCTGTGCGCCACACTCACAGGGACATATTCACGAATGCTGCAGCGCTTTGCAGTGCTATGGTGATTTGAGCAGTCGCATTCACGATGTGAAAACAACACTAAAGTTAAGAGCTTTGCCGAAGGTTCTACCGAGTTTCTGAAGAAACTTCTTGCTTCGGCATCGGAGCGATTCTAAACGAATTACTATATCACCAAGAACACATAGGAACTTGACCAAAAGAGACACACTACTTCAGTTCTTAGCAAGATTTAGCAAGACTCCTCGAAGTTCTTTGTTATTTTTTCAAAAATAGTAACCATTCTTCTCACTTCATGGAGGGGCAATTCCGCCGGCCCAAATGGTGTTCCGCTCCTCGGAGCCCTGAGAGACACAAGAGTCAGCTGCGTGCATTGGGCAACGAGGCTGAGAGTTCTGATTTGTTGAATTCAAAAAATGAGAGCAGGAACCTGACAGCAAAAAGACACCTAATAGCGTCCTTGCTCCTAGTAGCGATGCCAGGAGCCCCTAGTAGCTTCTTGTTACTACTAGTGATGGCCTCCAACCTAATAGCAAAAGAAGCCTATTTAATAGCAATGGCCTCCAACCTACTAGTGATGGCCTCCAACCTGCTGGCTGGGAGTTCTGATATATAATGTCATGTGTTGTTGTATGTTGCCGCAAATATGCGACGCACACACACACACACGTATCATACACATGTCTTTTGAAATTTGCAGCTGTGGAATCTGGAAGAATTTCTCGCAGGATGAACGCAGCTGGGAGGTTCTAGACAAGTCGGTCTACACGGTTGGTCGCCACGAAACAGCTGATTTCCAGCTGCAGGGCGAGTGGCACGGCCCAAACTCATCAAAGTTATGTCGTGTCTTGTTGTGTAGTCAAGCTTGGGCCTTTTTTGTGCTTGCTTTTAGCTTGCTTAGCCTTATGGCTTCAATTCTACAAGGAAGCATTCAAGGCTTCAGTTGACAAATGATCTCGGTATGCTTCAGTCCGTTTCTTTTTGTTTGTATGTGTGCGTCGCCGACCGGCTTGACCAGGTTGGTTTCCAGAATACATGCCGCGGTGCTTCAGGACCAGATGCCCCGGATAGCCGTGATCCTGCTTTGTTGCAACGCATTTGGGGAACATCAACGTCTATATAACGTTCCCATCATCAATAGGGAGGCCAGCGCTACTACCGGGTCGTAGGGTGGAGGCCATTCCTATTAGGTTGGAAGTTGGTTGGTGGCCATTGCTGAAAATAAGATAAATCACGAAGACCACCCCAGTTTCCACCGGTTTCCGGGCGAAGATCTTCTTTCAGAGCTTCCGTCCGCTCTTCCTGGTCTCTTCCTTCCTCTTCCAGCTTCTGTCCAGGACGTGGAAGGTGAGCGATACTTGGTGGATTTGAAGAGTACTCATGGCACCTTCCTGGAGTCCAAGCGCCTCAAAGCTCACGAGCCGGTGAAGTGGCCAGAAGGACGGACGGTTTTCGGTCTGTCGACGGAACGGTTTTCGGATCGGTGATCGAAGTGATTCCCCAATCCAACGGGGAAAAAAGGGTTTAGGGTCCTTCAAGAAGCAGTTAGATATCATTCATTGCTCAGTTTCTTTGAGAAATCCTTCGATGTGACGATGCCATAAGATGTGATATCGGCTGTTTTTTTAAAACTATCCCCATCGCGAGTAAACTCAAGGAGTGCAAGGAATTTACGAAGAAGTATGATTTCAAGACAAGAAACAGATGTAATTAACAGATATTTGGGTTCCATCTTAGGTCCACCCAACCTACTAGCGATGGCCTTCTTTTCCGGCGCAGGGCAAATGGCTTCTTTCGGCTTTGGCCCAAAGGCTGTCTTCATGGTGCTGGGCTCAATGGGCGAAGTGGCTCCGCCGGCCAAGCGACCGAAGACTGAGCCGCAGGACGCAGCCGGGGCACATTGGGGGGGGACCAAAGCTGAGTGCGCTCTTTCAAGGAGCACGCTTGTCTTTCTAAATAGAAGCAAGAAAAGGAAGGAAGAAATCAGTGGTGCATGCAAGGGTGGTGGCTTCTGAGCTTAACCGCAAGAAGTCCATCGGAAAGAACGGCCACTCATTGTGTCCCAAATTCTTTAACTCTTTTATTCGTGCTTTCCTTTACGCAAGGCAATTTTGGTGCATTCCACGGGTAGATGGGAAGAGCAATTCTATAATATTCTATATAGTAGTAACAAGTGCCTCGCTAGTAGTAACAGGTGCCTTACTGTAGTAACAAAAAGCTATTAATTTAAAGTTAAATTTAGTTTAATTAGGTTCTGTCCCTGATTTGCTGAGCCTTTTGCAATACCTTGAAGGTGATCGATGACCCAATGGCCTCACTCTATGGAGATCTCCCAGAAGCCAGCATCGTCAACACAGCGCCAAAGGTCCAACATCAGGGCGTTCAGCACGAAGCAGAAACGAAACGACGACGCGCCAGTCGCGCGGAACTGTTCCCGCTGTTTCAGCGGCGAACGAACGTGCAACCTTCTGCTCCTTCCGCTTGTGGCAGGTAGCCGAAACGAAAGTGCAACCTTTGCCAACGCCCACGAAAGACCCCACCAGAGTGATCTTTTTGGACATTGATCCTTGCCTTCAACTTGGAGATTCGTTTGGACGCTTTCTTGCTACGAGTCATGTTTGACAGTCATTCTTTCTTCAAAGTTCAGCTTCGAGCTCATTCGGATGGAGATGAACCGTTCAATTCCAAACTTGTCCAATCCTCCAACTGATACAGAGGACCTAAGAGGACAGTCTGAGGACAGTAGGTCTTGGACCTTGTTTCAAGCTAGAATGTGTTTACATATACTGTACGCTAGAAAGAATGCTTTGATGAATCCTTTCTTTCGTGCCGTTTTCCTTTTTTAGTTTATTGTGTTTTTCTTGTTCTTTAGATAATAGATGTCATTTTATTGCCATACCAAACGCTCCGACATTTTCGAGGATGGAGTTCTCAGACCTTTGCACAGCAGGCACGGTGAGTCGGTGCACGTGACCCACACCGGGTGAGGACCGACACCGGATGGTGCGACATGTTCTTCCAAAGATCTGCAATGGCCTCGCTCAGACGTCCGTAGATCTGCCTTTTTTGTGTGTGAACTTTTGTGGAGATGAGGCACTTCTAAGCTTTGTTTCTAGATGTTGCAGCATGTTGCAGCTGGGGAGATGAACCTTCAAGAAAAGGCCTTCTAGTAGAACCTTCAGATCTGGCCCTTTGCGGAATCAAGTGCAGTTTTATTGTCCGTAGTGTTCAACGACTGACATCCCATGCCCATGCCCATTTCCAAACAACAGCGGTCTCAAGACTCACAAATTGCACAGGGCTCAGATGCCATTGGAGTTTCATGGCCCAATTTGCCCCCCCCACCCAGGGAGGGGCCCACCGCTACCGGGGGTTTTGGATGGTTTGGGCCTAAGCGACTACCACTACGCTCAGTGTTGAAAAATGACAACTTCCAAAAATATGGGGTGGTCAATTGACCCTGGTGACCCCTTGACAGAACCTTTTTCTTTAGGTACAGACGTAAAGAAATCCATATCATATCGTGTTGTTTCTTTGAGAGGCACGTGTCCTTTGTTTTTGTGATTCCCCGATCTGCCTCGATTTCTCAGTACATACCTACCGATTTAGCCTGTGGTAGATAGATGTGATATTGCAGCCAAGGCAGGCAGAAAGGGCACATAAAAGGAAGGATTGCAGATTTTCAATGGATATTACATTCTGGTCCTGGTCATTTGCCGTGGTGTTCCACTGTGTTGCACGGTGAGTGAAGTCACGTTGCGGATGATTCATTTGATTATATATTCCTCAGGCAAGTGGCCTAAGTCTTGCCTCTAGTAGCCATGGCCTCCACCCCAGTACGTAGCTTCTTGTTAGTGGGAATGCCAGGAGTCCCTAGTAGCGTTCTTGCTCCTAGTAGCGATGCCAGGAGCCCCTAGTAGCGTTCTTGCTCCTAGTAGCGATGCCAGGAGCCCCTAGTAGCGTTCTTGCTCCTAGTAGTAAGGCCAGGAGCCCCCTAGTAGCTTCTTGTTCTCAGGCAAGACGCTTTTCAGAACACGCGGACCATCGAGATCAACGGAGCCCGGGTGCCATTGCTGGGAAGCTCCGAAGCCAAAGCAGGCGTGGACTTCTGGCCCAGCGCCATGCGAGCTCTCAGGCGGGGGAAAGTATAAAAGAAAGAACATACTAGCGATGGCCCAATACCGATGTCTATGGCTGTTCTTTCTTTTTCAACACTAGTTTTTTTGCTACGTTCTACAATGAGTTGAAGTCAACACTTTTGATGAATTTGTAGTGATTTGATTCCCGATGTTGCAGCTTGCATTTGGTCGAACACAATACTGAAAGGGCCACAGACGATAGTCTGGATGCTTTGTCGGGTTCCTTCAGGGTCTCATGTCACTTTTTTTTTGTGTGAAGATTCATTAAATTCAATGTTGCGCAAAGTTTTGAACCTGGTTAAAGAGTAGCTCAATGTGTGATTTCGTTAAACCAGCCTATTTCAATCAATCTTTTTCACTCGGACTGGCTGACTGCAGCTTCAGCACCGCCCAAGGTTCATTGTCCAAAAGACCGAGGCTCGAATTGTGTTATCCTCCGATTGGCGGAAGCAGGAGGTTTTGAAGGAAGGCATCCAAAGTGCCTTTGAGGAGCACGGAATCCCAGATTTGTATAGCTCAACCCCAGATTTGGACCAGGCAACTCCGGGCGTGATCAAGACGCTTCACAGCTCTTTTCGAGAAAAGCGCTGTAAGGAGATCAGGAAATGGCTCAAGGCAAATCCAAAGATCACCCACTTTTGTGCCGTTGACGATGTGGATTTGAGCATGCCCGACAAGGCTTCGTTGAAATCACAGGATTCGGATGTTTTCTTGGATCCTGACAAGGAGTTTGTCAAGACGAGCCAAGGCTAGTGACACAAAGCAGTGTTTTTCTTGTTTTTCCCTCTTCTCTCACCCCGAAGGAAAGGCTCTAACACATACTATGAACCTTTTACCATTTTATGTACCAACACTGCATGTTGTGTGCGTCTTGTAACTATCATGCAAATGTGCCACATAGATGTGTCAGACACGTGTGAGAGACATATCGTAGATCTACATGAATTATACCGACCTCAGCGACCTCACCTGAAAATAACGCCCCACTTTTTGAATTTAAGGTTCTTGACTCATACACACAGAACACACACACACATACGGCTACAAGTCCAAAAACAGCAAAAGTCCTATGTGCTGCAGATAGGCGCGCTCCTGCGCCTGATGGAATGGAAGGGGTTGTCTTTCATCAAAACACAGTAGAGGCCTTATCTGCTGCAGATAGGCACGTTTCTCCGCCTGCTGGAGTGGAAGGGGTTGTCTTTCATCAAAACACACTCGAGGCCCTATCTGCTGCAGATAGGCGCGTTTCTCCGCCTGCTGTCTTTCATCAAGACACAGCAGGGGCCCTATCTGCAGCAGATAGGCCTGGAAGAATCGAACCCAGGACCTGCGTCAGCCTTTCCATTAGGCTATAGGACCTCTTGTGGTAGAGCAGCCGCTTTGCTTCTCTTTGCGCAAGCGACACCAGAAGCCCCATCTGCAGCAGATAGGCGCGTTCCGCTTTCTGCTGCATTGGAAGGGGGGTCCCAATCAACACGCAGCAAAAGCCTTATCTGCAGCAGATAGGCGCATTTTCCCCGTCTGCTGGTGTGCGGGTTTGTTGTTCATCAAAACACAGTAGAAGCCCTATCTGCAGCAGATAGGCACGTTCCTGCATCTGCTGGGGTGGAAGGGGTCATCTGCACCAAGTGAACAGCGGAAGCCCTAGCCTAACGGAGTTCAATTGCCCAGCGACCCGATGAAAACCATCCACGAAACTCCGGCCTTGTCAAAGAGAAAGGCGTTGCTGACAATGCAGTGTTGTTGCGTGCGCGTGTATCCACGTGGTCCAATGTTGGTTCCGACCCGACATCACTTAATTTCGTATTTCCGACGACGTCATTTAATTCCACTTCCAAATTAACGAAAATAAGCGACGACCCGCGAAATACTATAATTCACCCTGATAGATGTCATAGATCGACTTAAACACAGTACACACCTTTTAGCCATCTTTAGCCAACCTAAGAGCGATGGCCTCCAACCTAGTAGAGGCGGACATGGAGAGACACAATGTTCTCAGGAACCCCGTGGTGGGACTCACCATGGAGATTTCCAAGTTGGTGATCTGCTACCTCAACGGCACAGAGCCCTCGGAGGAGATCCTCAGCGCGGTCTTCGGTGAACCCACGGGGATCATTACAAAAGCTTAGGCAGGCTTTAAGCAGAGAAAATCAAGGCGGTCAAGATAGCCTTGTAAGAGCAGACATGACATGTATTATACACGGCAAGATGCATGTTTCCAGATGTTTTCCTGGTTGAAAATGTAATGATATTCTTGAGCTCAGACATTATAGCCAGTGTGGATTAAGCCATGCAAAAGTCGTAGCGGTTGGATGCCTGAAAGAGATCGATCATCTCCTGGCTCAAAGATCCAGTCAGGAGAGAGGCCGAAGCCTCTCATCGCACGTATTGAGGATAAAAGGTATCGTTGTGTGAAGCTGTCCAGGGTTGGAGTTCTTACAACGAAGAGGACACTGCACATCAACAATGTACTGTACAAGCTTTCTCGACAACGACAGGGGGTTGTCCGTTTGTTTGTCAGGACAATCCATAATTCCATGTCCTGACTAAACTTAGTGCCAATCTGTTTGAGCTGCCTCAGCCATTTGGCTACCAGTCTTAGCTGCCACCAAGAGCCCATCTCAGGAATACATTTGATGAACCACATGCAAAGTCTTATCGATCAAATATTGCTCAGAAGCAGAGCCGTTTCACGCAGACCTGCCGTCAACCACTGGAATAAGCTGAACCTAGAACTCCTGCTCTTAACACCCCGTGCTACTAGGCCCTCCATCGCTTACAATTCATAGCACGAACTTCTCGAACATTGCATGAGATGAAGAAGCAGGACTTTTATTTTGACTCATGCTTGTCATTTCATTGCTATGGCGGTTGCCCTTTGCCCAGCGTGGCATACTGTTCTTCGGCCAAGGCAACAAGAGAGGAGAGTGCACCGAAGACCACAATATGCACAGACAGACACCTGCTGCTAGGGCCGTCCAGGGCCATGCTTTTCCTGCACCCACAACTAGTGTTCTTGAAAGTTCTTAAGCGACAAACAAAAGCAAGCAAAAATGGGACATGCTGCCATGCTGCAGGCCTTTGCCAGCGCGGACGCTTCGACGAGCACATGTGCAGAACATCGCCTGAAATGAGATTCAAATCCAGAATTGTGCTGGTCTAGGGTTTCTGCAGCACAATTTGGGGATCAAATCTTTTTCGATCTTGATCTTGACTATACCTGACCAACACAAAGCTGACTGCGGTTTTGTGATTTGTTTAAGAACGTCAGAGCCAAGTCTTGCATTTTGAGAACGCTTGCTACTCTCGTTCCAATTCGCTTAGGCCGATAGTTCGGTTGCCCAACAGCTCTAGCCCCTTTGAAAACTTCGAGACCTTTGGATGGCGTTGGAGTTGCTCGGTCTGGACAAAGAAAAGCGTTTTGGATTCAACCTACTACTGCTACATAGTCGATTTCCTCAAACATGTTCCAACCATTCGATTTGTAGCGATTATATAGATATGATGAAACGAGTTGACTTTCAAGGTCCAGACCTCAGCCTGGACGAGAATCTCTTGCGCTTGGTGCCTTGGAAATAATTCGAATGGAACTGTTTGGTGCAAGGACTGCAAATGTATTGTGTCTCTATGTTTCTCGCTCTCTCTCTCTCTCTCTGCGTTGCTTTTCTTTGTTTTTAATTCCTTTTCCTTGTTCTTTCTTCATTTCATTGTAAGGAATGCAGGCATTCAACGGCAGTTTTTTCCTACTTGCTGTAAAGGACACAAGTGCATTCAATTTCACCAGGCAGTCCAAGAGATTTGCGAACGACGGTCCCACGGTCCCACCTTGGGATTGTCCAGGCACTCTTGGCCCGTTTGAATTGCTTCAAAGTGGCGAACTACACCGCTGGGCGCTGCAGTGCAATGATGTGTCGTCCTCCGCGGATTAATGTCTCTCATGTTGAGATTGAGGCGGCCGCATGGCACATGGCACCATGATACACCATGGCACATGGGATATGGTAGGCTCGGGCATAGGTATCAAAAAAAAAATAAAAAGAGCATCAAAAAAAATAAAAACAGGATCAAAAAGGAATAAAAAGCGAATCAAAAAAACAATATTCCTTGATAGGCCTCTTCCGCTGCTCTCCTGGCCTTGTGGTCTGCGGGTCCTCTGGTAATGTGGTCCCTTGGTCCTTTGGTCCCTTGGTCCTCTGGTCCACTGGTCCTTTGGTCTCCTGGTGCCTTGGTCCTTTAGTCCACTGGTCCCCTAGTCCTCCGGTCTCCTGGTCCTCTGGTCCTGTGGTCCGCTGGTCCCCTGGTATCCTAGTCCTTCTGTCTCCTGGTCCGCTGGTCTTTTGCTCTCCTACGGCGCTCGTCTGTCGATCTCCTGGTCCCCTGCTTGCGCAAATAGAGGCTTGATTGCTTTCTACTAGAGGCAGCTCCCTGGGAAGAAAGTAGGTACTACTGCTACTGCTACCACTACTACTACTACTACTCCTCCTCCTCCTCCTGCTGCTGCTGCTGCTGCGCTGCTGCTGCTGCTGCTGCTGCTGCTGCTACTGCTACGCTGGTGCTGCTGCTGCTGCTACTGCTACTACTACTAGTACCCCAACCATCCTCAGTGGGCTAGAATATTTTTTTTTGATGACCTTTTTATTTTTTTATTGATCCCCGTTGAATATGTTTTTTGATTCTATTTTTATTTTTATTTTGATCCCTTACCCGTAGGCTCGAATCCATCACCTGAGCTCTTTCGCATCACTACCTTGAATGCAGGTGATTGGATTTGGCATCAATACGCCCCTTGGCGACAGAGTAGGATGAAGTAGAACACTATATACATGGTTAGTATAGGTTGGGACAACACAAGGCTAAGAAGGCACATGAAAATGGCCTAGCTTAATGTGTGCCTTGTGTTGTTGTGTTGTAATGCTCCTTGTATCGATCCAAGGCCACCGCGCTTCGGAACCATTCCAAGGGACCCCAATGCGGGTATGAGACCCTGGAATCGGAAGGAACCGCCGCAGAATGAGATCCATTCGGAGATGCAAATCATCGGCCGTAGCTTGACGTGATCCGTTCAGAAGATGTCTTGACGCGACGAGGACTGACCCTTGTGAGTCCCTTGAAGTTCCATGTTGCAGCCTTGAATTCATGGCTTACAAGGCCTCCAACAGTGCCTTTGTTTTCTGCTGTTGGGTGCACTTCAAGTGAATTACTGTCTCGAGTTCTGCTACAAGTGGATTGCAAGGATTCCACCACAGGATTTCCGCTTTCTTCGTTCGCCCAGGTTGCGCAAGAGAGGGGATCCCAATGAAAGGCTCCTGGCTGTATGTGGCGTTGTTCACTTAGCTTTGCCCACAGTGACCTGGGGCCGTTGAAGAAGCAGAGCCCAGCGTGCTTCAAGAACCATTCAACGCGGGCAACAATTCCATTTCGTTCACCGAGGTTACCACCCTGCTGGGAGTGTTGCAAAGCCCTGGTGGCTGCTGGAGTCGCCCGAGTCCTCTTCAAAGGCAGAGAAAGCACAACTTGAAATCATGTATTGTCTTGTCTACAAACCCGAACTCTACCATTGCTTGGGTTTTCATTTTGAACGCACTCCACAATTCAGTGGATATGCTACATACGTACATCTACTTGCTCTTGAGGCTTAGCCAACTGCTGCCATTGGTTTGAATCACGGATATGTTATGTTTTTTCTACAGACATCCTGCACAGGCCCAAGCTGGCAAAGACCCAGCTTGTAAAGCACCACATTGTAGTCACTATACTATGGCTTCATGGCATAAACTGTCATGCCTTCTATTACTGTTGTCATTGTGCCCAGGAAGAGGTAGCAAGTGAAAAAAAGCCCCTAGACTGTCCTAGACTTGATCATTTCTATATCAGAGATCAGTGATTTGAGCTAGATGTTCTGATAGCATCTGCTAGCCTGGACTGAAATCTCGACATCCTTCGATTGGCCGATTGGCTTCCTGCTGCTACATCCCATCATGGCAGCTGTCTTCTTCCGTCGATTGGAATATGAGGCGAAGCTGGAACGAGCAGGAATCATGCCGTGTTTGCACGTTGCTATTGTGGAAGGCGTGGCTAGCGGCACCGGCAGCAGTTTCAGCAGGAGCAGCAATGCGGTGGAGGGGGCGTCTAGCGGCACTGGCTACAGTTTCAGAGGGAGCAGCAATGTGGGCGTAAGGTATGAACATCATGCAATCTTTGACCGTAAGAATGATGCATACATACACGTCAGCGGTGAAAATGGAGATATATGTGTGGTTCGGACAGAGAGACGAGCCTTTGAGAGCCGTTCTTCCTCACGACCTCGGGTGGTCAAGCAACCTGCTACTGTTCAAGAGGCACGCGACATACTTGAGCGTGCTCGAGCCTGGGCTGATGACGCATATGCATGGGATTATGGGCTATTCAAGAACAATTGCGAGCACTTTGTGAACGAATGCTGGAACCCTAATGAAACTCCACACAGTGGTCAGGCTCGAAATGCAGTAGTATCAATTGGCGGTGCCGCTGGTGCAGGGATTGGCGGTGGCATCGCGGCCGCGGCGGTTCCAATTGCCACCACCGTCCCATATCATTTCTTGGGGTTTATTCCATGGGGAACCACAACAGTCATGACGACTTTACCGGCGCTTGCTGTGCTTGGCATAGGTGCTGGGGTCTCACTGCTCGGCGGCGGCGTTGCTTATGGTATCAGGGAAGTAGTTCTGAACGAGACGGCACAGACTGCGAACTTGGTTCCAATAGCCGTTTACAACAGATCAGGAGAGCCTATCACTGCTTCTTTGTGGTACGAAGATTGTCCCATGCCTTGGTCACGGAATGCAGTGTATCACTGGCGTGCTTGCCTTGGTATCGGCCACATGTCATTGAACATCGATAGCAACATGGCGGAGGAACTCAACCCGCCAACTGTGACTGACACCGGTGACACATCTTTTATGCTCAAAGTATGCAGCGAGTCGTCGAACCCTGCTGGCAGGAGGCGGCCAGAAGTTGAATGCAGGGTCTCACGTGGTGATGTTGTTACTTTTAATGGCGAGAGATTGAGCAAAGGGGTGTTGACAATGGAGGACGTAAAGAGATATTTGGCTTGCTCCATATGCGGAAACAACCGCTCCAACATCATTTTGCCTTGCGGGCACTATTTCTGTGAGGGCTGCATTTTGCGCTTCATGGAGGCAAACGACTCGATTTGCCCGCATTGCCACAGTTACTTTGAGGAATGGGAAGGAATGTATAGTGAACTTGGAAAGTTGACAACAGAAATATTAACTTGTTGCATATGCTTTGACCGATGCTCCAATGTTGTTTTGGAGCCTTGTGGGCACGATAACTTCTGTGAAGACTGCATTTTGCAGTGGAGGCAAGCAGGCAACCCTACTTGCCCGTATTGCTGCATACACGACACAGGGACCAGAATCACGGGAATCTGTAGACGATAGACTTGGAAAAGGCCCGGAGTTGCCGTAGGTCTTGAACGTTTTGCCACTCCACACCTTGCCGCAAGAAACAAGAGGGCTGCTGTTTCGCTTTCTGCTACGAGTGAAGTCATTTCCTTCGGCGCAATCATTGGAATGCCCAGATCAACCTGGGGATGTTCGGTGCACATTCTTTGCACAGGCAAAGGCCGACGTGCACCAGCTGCGATCATGGAGAATGCCAAAGAGAAGGTCTTTGCCGAGGCAGTGGCAGCACTGCTGGGTGCGGTTGACGAAGCAGGTTTGTGGGTTCTAATCATTCTCACTAAACCGTCATGCAGATACGGATGTACACAGCAACTATATATTATATATATAGATCCTTTGTTGGACTTGGTATCTGATAACACAAGCGGACTTGGAAGCTGCACAGTCTCACGACCGCCTGGAGCCGGGATGACTATAGGTGAGAAGCCATCAAGGTAATAGAACATGAAAAAGGGATGTATTTGCAAAGGGAAAACACACATTCATGTTTGTATGTTGCAAAGGGAAAGCGTTTTTGCATGTCGTGCTTTCAATTAGAAACACATTCACCCAGGCATTTGGCATGGAATGGCTACATGCAGAGTTTAGCCTGGAGCGGGAGCAATACTTGGATGAAATGTGGGAAGCCTACAAGAAGGAGCTTCGCATAACTTCGCCCAAGGAAAAAGGCAAGTGTAGAGCCATTATGATCCATTTGCCTCATGTGGTGGCAAGCTTTCCTAGCTAAGCCGCAATCACCCAGAACCTGAGCTCACAGTAATTCACGGTAGAATGAGCTTGTCACAGCCATGGCACATTTTTACACGTTGACAGCAAACTGCCAAGTTTCATTTTCTCCAAACGCTAGGATCCTGGGGAGTCTTCTTAAAATTGTTGAGTACAGTTGCGCTACACGGTGGCAACTCAGCGTGACCTGCAACAGGAGTTTGGATTGGACCGTGCTGCTGTCAAAGCTCAAGAATCACAGCGGCCGATGCGACCTGATGAGTTGGATGTGGACTCTAGCCACCATAGGTTGTACTATGATATGGAGGGACTGTGACATGTTGGCTTTTGTTTCATAGTTTGCTGGAAGATGCAGATTGATTCCTGAGGTGAAAGACCCATGGGTTTTGCTAACATCTTCAGAAATTGCGGCTCCTCTTGAAAAAGCTTGCGAACAAAAGTCACTGCGTGCTTTGCTGCATGACTCGCGCGGCGCGATGTTGTTCGACCATTGCCGATGACATGTTTCAACCTTTGCTTGCTGATTTGGAAGGGAGGCTTGTGGGACAAGATCAAGCTTCCCGTCTATGCTGGCCTATGGTACTTCTTCAATGCCAATGGCCTATGATGACTTTGTGTGACTCAGCAAGTGGCTGTTTCCTTGTCAACGCACCGTCCAAGGTTCAGTACAACATACAGAACAAGAAGCCAGGACCCTATCATAATTGAAAGAATTCCCGAAAGCAGAACAGGACAGTGAGGACGCCTTATTTTTGTTGCACACTGTGCTTTCCCTCAAGCTCCGAGAATCCTTGACCTTTCACAGGCTTGATTCGTTCCAAGGTTACTGACTGTGTTCCATGCGAATTGGGCCGTTTCCTGGTTTCAGTACCTCAGTTGCACTTGTCAGACAAAGTTGTTGCGAGAACGGGCTTGCCTTAGGGAACTAACAAGAGCGCCTTTGTTGATAAAGAAGCTTTTGTTTTCTGTAAAATAGCAAGAAAAAGTCCAAGCAAATGCTTACTGTAGATTCTTTCAAGCCCAAGCGCTGGAACAACTGTTTCTTGCTTTGACCTTGTCTGACCCCCGCCAAAATCACCAAGGCTAGCATCAGGCATCCCAATCGCTCTGTTCATGTGGAGCTCCGGCCTGATAAAGGCGAGTTTCTGAGAAATAGAATTGCAAAGTTGACTTGTTGGACTTCGCAGACATCACTACTAGTAGTAACAAGAAGCTACTAGGAACAAGTGCATCGCTACTAGTAACAAGTGCCTTACTAGTAGTAACAAGAAGCTTCACTGAAACGTTGTTTGCTTTGTGAGCTAGAGCGGATCCCTGTCCTTTCCATCACGACACCGGTTCGACACCACGTCCACTTGAGGCCCCCAAGATGACCAAGGACGACTGCCTGAAGTTGGCCCCGGTGGGTGCTGCCTTTGCAGCGGGCCAGGCCATGTCATGGCCATGAGCCCGGAACAAAGCAGTGACATGCGGTGACTGGCATCGTTTGTAAGGCAAGCAACACAACAGTGGGGTAGCAGTCAGAAGCATCTGCATGTTAGCTCCTCTTTGAAAGCAAGGAACAACAGATGTGAGCAGAGCGTTCAAAGCCAGCTTGCAGACTCTTTCAAGATTTCAAGTATTGATCATACTACGTATTGATCCTTGATCTTACTTCGAACACATTGAAATGAGGAAGATGGAGGAAGAAAACGGTGAAGAACTTAAACAAACAATCCTAAGAACGGTGTCCCTTCTGGACAGGTGGCCACAGTGGCATCCCTAGGTGCAGTAGCCGTGTCGTTCACGCACGTCGTGAAGGCGGGAAGACGGGGGGATCACCAGAGAGGACCTATTTCGTCCTACTAGCAAGCCTCCTACGAATGAATACGAATGACCTTTCTTATCCTTTCTTCCTATAGCTGGCTTTGTTTCTAGCGATGGCCTCCACCTTGTAGGGAGGAACAGATTAGTCAGTGTCGCGAAAGGAAGGGCCTCTCAGTGTCGCACGTTGAGCAAGAGAACTCAACGGGAGTTCTCCGATGGTTGGACCCGTGTGGCAGTTTGGCTTTCTGGTGGATTTGTGAGACCGCGAAGCAAAAGAGTAACAAAAGAACTCTCATCAGAGAAGTCCCAGGAAGAATCTTGTTTAAACGAGGAACAAGAAGCTACTAGGGGCTCCTGGTCTTACTACTAGGAGCAAGGACGCTACTAGGGGCTCCTGGCCGTACTACTAGGAGCAAGTAGCTACTAGGAACAAGAAGTTAACAGGGTTACGTTTCTTTTTCTCTGAAGCGATCACATGTGATCAGACTTGCTTGTGAAAAACCGCCATGTCCCTTGAGGCCTTGGAGCCTGCTGTGAACGCCATTGCCTCCGCGCTGATTCTTGGACAGGCGAGTTGCAAACAGAAACGGTCGGATCAAAGATGGCAACTGAGAAGATGTGAATTTAGATGGTGCTAGCACAGTTCAAAGCCTGCCGAGCCTGAACTTGTGAGTGGCAAGTTGCAGGTCTTCCATCCTATGGTCTACGCTTCTCTACTCCCGGTCTTTGCTGGAGTTGCATTGGCATCCTCCAAGGAGCTTTCATTCACAATGTAAGAGCCTCATGGAAGCCCATAGAAGAACATCCAAGTATTTCAACAAGCAGAGGAATCAAGCTACGTACAGTAGTCCTTGTTGCAGCTTCATCCAGCAATCTTCAAGTTGTGCAGTGACAGCTACTCTGAATGCATGATGAAGAGACATCAAGAGGAATGTAGGAGTGTTGTAGAGGGCCTTTCTGGGTGAAGAAGCTTATGTTCGTTCTTAGGTGGAGGCCATCGCTATTAGGTGGAGGCCATCGCTTCTAGGTTGGAGACCATCGCCACTGCCTAGCAAACTATATTAGACCTTTCTTCCTTGTAGGTTTTGGATCCTCAAGCTCTCTAGGTTTGGCTTCCTCACGGCCATGGCCTCAAATTTCTTCTTCGTGACACGCAACGTGCTCGCCACGAAGTTCGGTGATGTGGGCGACATGGGGGAGGCGGAAAGACACGTAGACGCCGGGCACGTGTTGATTGTCAAGAAGCTGTTTGAGATGCTTGCCACTTCTTTGGGGGCTTTAAGTTGCAGTCTTGGAATGCTTCTCGGGTCATGTTCATTTTGACACCCCCCCACCTGCTGCAAGTTGGAAGACAAGCACCCTCATCCAGCTGTTTTTGATCTCACCAGCTGTCTCAATGCTCTTAATCACTACCATAGAAGAGCAAACAATCATATGGTTTGACATGATTAGATGGCTACCCGATTGTGCGACTATGCCAATTTGGTGTTGTCCCATCTGGCAGGACAAGACCCAGAGAAAGACCAATCAGCTGGCTGTACTTACAGCCGTTGCTGCACTGGTGTTTGCCTTGGTTTGGTGTGTTTGATCGCTACATCAATGGCTTTCAAAAGGCCTTAGGTCTTTCTTCCCTGCATCATCAGGTGCTGCTGCCGGTGGCCGTGCTGCTACCAGGTGGATTCACCTCCGTGCCAACTGCTTGGAAGGCGGTCCGGAAAAGAGCCCTGCAGTCCCAGCTCTAGCTGAGCTTTCAAGGTTTCTTTAGAGTGGACTTCGGATGAGAACAAGTCCCTTTTCAATCTTTATTCGGCTTTTGCAACATCTCGGCATCTTTTTTTGAATGTGCAACTCCATTCAATGCACTCTCATTCTTCGTCAGGCAGCGCTTGCAGCAGGTGTGTCAGTGAATTCTCTTTGGTGACCTGTCACGCTAACGTTCCATGTTCTGAATGTACCCACTAGCTACAGAGGGTTTGGCAGATAATGTGGCAGATTGCAAGTTGGATCTGGCACGCTGTGTGCCCGAGATTCAAGGTACATGTTGTTAGCATCTGGCTTCCACTTCTTCATGTGCCCCTTGGAATCCTTTGGATGCTCCTTGAAGTTGTGGAGAAAGGAAGGAAGAAAAAAGTAACGAGTGAGAAAGAGAAAAGATCTGAGGGTCCAAAGAAAGAGAGAAGAAACAAACAAAACACACAATAGACAAAATTTAGAGCAAGAACAGGACATCTTTCGCCGAATTCAAGCAACTGTTGCTACCCAATTGACTGCTAAGCTTGCTCGGAAGACTCTTTTTGTGAGCATGAACCATGTTTGCATTTCCAGCCTTTTGGTTCGTTTGCGTCTCGGCTCAGCTCCAATTCAAACCCAACCGTGCAAAGGATTGATGCCTACTCGAGTCTAGCCACACGATGCTCAACGATCCTTAGTCCTTCCAACCAGTCCAAAAGCTTTATGTATGAAATTGTATGAATATAATTGAAAACAACATAAAACATGATCAGTCACAGAGATCCACCCTGGATACACACCACACTGTACATGTTTGTCACATCTTAACTTTTGCAAAGAGAGTTCGATGTGTTTTATTTTTTGTGTGAAACGGTCGCTGTTCTCGGTCTTTTAGATGGAGATGGTGTGACAGCGTTGTTCAGAGAAATGCAACCTGCCAAAGGTGGGAGCCATTTGACGAACGTTGAGGTAAGGACCAGCTGGTGTCAGATTCAGCAGGGTGTGAGACTTGAGGTCTTCCTGTCCCATCCGGCCAAATATTTATCGACTCAGAGAATTTGTTCGAAGCCAGTGATTTCCCATGGCATCAGCTGTCGGTTGATCATTGTACCAAATGTGCCTGAACTGGTGGCCGTGTTATATGCATCGTCAGCGGTGTCCGCGGTGTCTCCAAACTGGGCTTACAACTTGACGGTGTCGGTGTCTGTTTGCCAAGCCAAGGATCCAGATTGGAAGATCACGCGCTCTCGGGTGGAGAGTTTATCCAAGGAGAAGCCATGCAGCGGCGTCTTCCGAGGACTCTTGAAATCCTCAGAGATGACCAGGGAGCTTGGGTGGATCAACGACAAAGGCGAGCTTCATGTTCAAGCGGAAATCCGCGGTCTTCCAGATTTTGCCACCTTTGATTTTTCAGAAGAGTTAAAGGTGGTCACCTTCCGTCTAGCTGAAGGTGCTCTATACTTTGACCGGCGGATCCTTACAGGTCGCTCGGAATATTTTCGTGAGATGCTGGCCACTGTTTGGCAAGAATCACAGACCGGTGAAATTGACCTCAGCAATGATCCACAATGTACCAGAGCATCCGTCTCAGCGTTATTGGATTTCATGATTACCAATCATTTCCATGCTCGAGATGTTGATCTGGCGTTTTTGGTTCGCATCCTGGCGGACCGATATCAATTGCCACAGCTGGTGCAGCAGGTGGATGTACAGCTGGAAGGCATGCTCAGTCGGGAGAACGTCTTGAGTTTTCTGGGGCGTTTGCTGGGGACCAACAGCAAGCTGGAGGCCAAATGTATTCAGATGTTGGAGACAGATGGTCAAAATATCTTGGAACAACAGGAGGCAAAATTGGATCAAATCACTGAGGAAAATCCTGCCTTGGCCAAGAAACTGATTCAATTGCTTCTGCGAAAGGGAAAGAAGCGACCGCTTGAATCAAAGTCCTAATGATAAGAAGTGCCAGGGACAAAGATGCCCGTGGCCATTAGCCTGGCTTCGGCCGATTGTTGTGTTGTTGCCCCGATGTTCTTGTTTGCTTGATTGCCAGTGAAGTATGATCCCAGGATTTGATGTTCTGAATCCATAAATCCATACTGCCTTCGGATGGACAGGTGTTTGAATCGATCCAGTTGGCGACAAGCCCAGCAGGGCTGCCAACTGGAGAAGGTGGAGCCAGGGCTTGGTGGAGCCAGTTGGCGTCGAGAATCCTGGTCGAACAAGTAGACATAGGTGAGGAGCATCATGGATAATCCTGTCGTTGTCATATCGGTTGCAAAACCCCTGTGACATCCTATGACTTTGGAGAGTCAAGACCAGAGATTCTCAACTCGCGCACCACCAGCTCTTGCCAACGTGATGTTATTGTGCCCGTCATGAATGGAAAAGAGTGCCGCTTCAATGTGTTTCAGATTCCGAGCTGTGCACTTTCATTGCGCAACTCATTTCATCCGATGGCCACGGAACTTCCATGTCTTCCTGATGTGCAGGTACCAGCTGTCTTCCTTCTGGGTCCTCTCGTGTGTTCCGCCCATCACCCACAGTGTGCCTTGCGTGCGGGGGGGGGTAGGAGCAAGGACGCTACTAGGGGCTCCTGGCCTTACTACTAGGAGCAAGGGCCTTACTACTAGTAACAAGAATCTAGTAGACACAATAAGTATTAGAATTAATCCAAAGCAGACCTCGACGCAGACTTCGACGCCCGAGGTGCTGAACACCTTGAAGAGAGTGGTGATCATTGTGGCTTCCCACTCAGCTGGTTCTCATTTGCAATGCTGGTGACCTCTTAGCATTTTTCCTTGCAGCTCTTGGAGGTCGTTCAAGGTCCGAGGTTGAAAACAAAACAAACCCATACACCCAGGCTCCAGGTCTAAGGTTTGATTTTTTTGTGTCCCCTCTCCCTGTGCAAACGGACAAAACCTGTCCACAATCTGGCATTCTTTCCTCTTGAAGGTAGGCTGCTAGGCAGCCTACCTTCCTTGTTCTTTCTCTTTAATTACTCGTAGGATGGTATTTGCTTGTGTGCCCTTAGGTATCCATCATCGTTTTCCGCACACCCGTCACTCCTCAGAGTGCAGCAGGCTGGAGATTGAAAGAACACACGCCAACTTTGCAGACTATGATCACGCCACGTTGCATCAGTCATTTTGCTTGAACGCTCACAGGTACAGCGATCGCCATCGGCGGTGTGCTACTGTACTCCCTCACCAAGGCTGTCTTGACCCAACTGAGTCTTCCTTCAAAACGAGACTACGCCTGAACCTCTAGGAGCAATGTTCGCTACTAGGAGCAAAGGGCATGTCTACTAGGAGCAAGGATGCTACTAGGGGCTCCTGGTCTTACTACTAGGAGCGGAGCAATTTTTTGCTGCAGAAGACGTGAAGCCTGGCAGGCGCATTATGCGAAGAAGGGGAAGCTTAGAACTTAGATGGCCGACCTGGTCGACCCGAGAAGCACGAGATCAGGTCCTTGTTATGTTCGTAGCTTCTTGCTCCTAGTAGCGATGCCAGGAGCCGCTAGTAGCTTCTTGTTACTATAGTAGTACGGCCAGGATCTACTACTAGCGTCCTTGCTACTAGTAATGCCCTTTGTTACGTTCGTAGCGTCATGTAGCGTCCTTTGCTCCTTAGACATCAGACCTGGTCGACTCGAGAAGCCGCACCTTCGATTGAGGTGACGATTTGGCCAGATCTGCAAAGCCCTTGGAGACCCACTTTCGATCGACGAATCAGATTGGTATAGCCACTTTTGAGGAAAAAATTGGAATCAGATTCGATATGCTTCCTCACGTTACGAAGTTGGACGGGCTCCGTGGCTCTGCAAGCGCTTTTTGGCGCGCCCTTCGACGGGCGTGCTCCGCTCCTGCTGAGCAGGGCGCCGGGCGGCGAGCGGCCCAGTCGGGTGCAGTGCCTGACCAGCCCACCGGACCCACCGGAGAATCGAATAGAGCTTCCCCGGTGTGGGTGTTGGCAGGGCACGAAAGTGATGATCCTGAGTTTTGACCAGATTCTCTTGGTTTCTGATTGTTTACGATCAAACCTCCTGAAATCTTGCATCTTTGGAGAATGTGAATCAGGATGAATCAGGTAACAGGCCCTCCAGCACTGACCGTTTGCACTTGTCGTGCCCACATAGGACCTGTATACGTTCTGTTAAAAAAGGCAGAACATGAGCACCATCCACTCACGGGCACTTGCGACACGAAACCTCCAAATTTGCGATACGCGAATTCTCCGACTGGACCATATTGGACCCTCAGACGTCGTCTTCTTGCTACTGGTAGCAGCAATACAAGGAAGAGACCTGCTGCAGTGGATCCTCTCGGTGTATCATCTAAAGTACGCATCTATGCATTGGCGCATCCGCAGCCAATGCAGGATTAGACATCCACACTTTGTCCACACTTCAAGCATTGGACATATTTGTGACTCCAAGCGAAAATGAGAGCAAGCCGGAGATCGAATAGATGTCGTGATTTTCCAAGTATAGCTTGAGAGCCTCGGCAAGTGATATGGCGCCATGTGGCGCAAAGGCTTCAAGGATTACAAAGAGGCCTTTGGGTTGACCCAAGCAGCGTGTGGATATGAGGATGTTCCTGTACAGGTTTCTTTGGCCCTGTGTACCACTAGCACTTGTCAGAAGCTAAATGAGCTTTGCGCTTTCAAGACAGATGACTTGCTTTCGAAAGCTAAGGGGTCACTCTGCTTTGCCAGTTGGTCGCATACAAGGCGCAGCTTTTGGATTCCGCTGCGTTTGGGAATTGGATCGATGGAACGTATGGTGTGAATTGAGTCGCTGTGCACAGGCAAACGGGCATCTCCAGAACCTCAAGCGGGAAACCTAGATTGAAACCTATGG